CAACATTCCACAAACAACACATAGATGCTCAGAATAAGTTGCAACATCATCACTTAACCTTATTTTTTCTTTTTTTATTTTATTTTATTTGGAAAGTAACTTTTTCCCAACAAGATTGAACCAAAAGAACAACATTCTGTAGGTGTGAACATTAGAGGTCATCCAAGTTTTCTACAGTAGTTTTCCAATGTTCATTACCTATCAAAATGAATCGACTAGTAAGAGGAGCAGAATCCATTCGATTCGTCCTGTGAACTCCCATTTTTTTTTTTTTTTTTTTTTAATATATATATAGGTCAAGCAATAGAAATCCAACTCCAATTCACCTCATTCAACAACGACACCATTTTCACCAATCATCACAAAATCAGTCAACAAAATACAATATATGCATGGCTGACAAGAAAAGGCTCAAGGCTCAAACGAGCTACTAGGGATAATAGCGTTTATGTTCAAAGAACAAGGCTAAAGAGAGCTAATCAAACAAAACGCCTCAATCACTTTCGCAATTTCAAACTCTAATCGATTCCTTTCAAATAAACTCAAGGCAAGTCCTAATCATTCAAGAATATGACCAATATCTCACAAGAAAGAAGAGTAAGGATCAAAATCTCACAAGGCAAATATATGTCACTCAAAGCAATCAAGCATATACCGAGGCAATGACCACAAGTCCGTCATCACAACTTCCCAATTTCATCAAACATTCATCAACAAATCATATAATCCACCAATACCATGCTCAACAACACAAAAACCTAAAACTAGTCCGGTCCACCATATAAGCATGCAAAAATCCGAATAACTCCCCCACACTTAAAATGAGGCAATGTCCTCATTGCTTCAACACCAAACAGGAAGTAAAATAAAGGACCTAGCACTTTTATATAGCGAACCAATACTAGCAACTACCACAAGAACATAAGACTCGAAAGAAAAGACAGGGGAAAGAAACAACTCAAAAAGATAAAAAAGAAAAAGAAAATGGTGTGCAAACTGAAGTAGCATCGAGGGAAATAAGCATTCACGTGCAAGCCGCTCGCCTATGCTCAACCCAAAACCTCGGAATTCCTCATTCAACGCAATCCTCCTGCTCGAACTCACAAACACGTACCTGCCAAGAAAAACACAGAACTCCAACACTCCCATTATTCAAAGATAAAATAAAAGAGCAAAAAGAAAAATATCTAAGAAAGCGATAAATCACTTGGGGTGCCTCCCAAGAAGCGCTTGTTTAACGTCATTAGCTTGACGAAACCTGAGTACGACTCAACCAGGGTCCAGAAAGAAATGGCGATCATGCCACGCCTTCGTATTTTCGAGAAGTGGTAGCCCAGGCAGTTTGGCAAGAAGGCGGGCATGGTGGATCCGGGTGGCTGTGTTCTGGAGGAACCTGACGTGGGAACGAGCAATCCCCAGTAGTTGACATAGAGCTTTTCCCACCCGAACTCTGTCATCAACCCCAGGGATAACGAGCACATCTGTGGAACCAGTCGAGCTAAATCTGGCCCACGTGGTAGCACAGTGTGATGGCTCCGAAGGTGAATGCTCCATCTCGGTAGCAGGAGGAGGGACTCGAGAAATGGTGACATGATCAAGTCCATGAAGCTCCTCCTCCGAAACATCGTCGTCCCGCTGGAGAGCATCATCTTCCTCTTCGGTCTCACACATGTGCATCAGAAAACACGTTTGGGCACCAACCATAAGATGGGAGTTGTCGACTTTTGACTCGATAGAGTCGAGACGTGCTGTTAGATTTTCCATTTGAGCGCTCAATCGAGCACACCCGAGCTCAATCTCCCCTTCCCGGTTTGCTTGGGCCATTATGCCATCGAGGATGAGATCAAGTTTGGCATTGAATCCCGAAGAGTCGTCCTCGAGCTCATCAAAAGGTACGGGTTGTGGACATGGGTCCACAACCATGGACTCTATAGAATCGATGCGCCTTGCTAGACTCTCCAACTGCTCGCTCAACCGGGCACATCTGAGCTCAACCTCCTCTCTTCGACTTGCTTGGGCCATCACTTGAGCCAGGATTAGATCAAGTTTTTCGTTGAATGCGGCCTCTTCTTCTCGAGCTGACTGAGATGTTATAAAATCAAGAATCTGGTCGAGCTTCTCATTATGCTTGTGGGACTCATAAGTTTGCTCGACTGTGTAGGGATCCCAGCACTGCTCGGAAGAGTACGGATATGACTGGTAGTAGCTCCCGTCGTGATAACTCGGCTCGTGACCCCAAGAATGGGTGTGCGGTAAGGGAAACACATGGTTGAAGTTCATACTTCCTGCACACCAAAACAGAACAACCACACGTAGCCACAAAGAGGAAAGAAAAAGAAGATAAAAACAAACAAGACAAAAAGAAAAACAAAGATGCACAAAAGAAAGAACAAAAAAAATACGAAAAACACAAAATGAAGATAAACACAGAAAATAAAATCAAACACCAAAACTAAATATCCTACTTGCCTTCCCCGGCAACGGCGCCAAATTTTTTATGTATAAATTGTTATTTTTACCGAGTACCGAATCGAAGGATTTGTTTCCCGAGTCGATCTCACAAGGAAGGCGGTTCGGAATTTAGCTTCGGTATTGATTTCACACAAAAAGAAATAAAATCCTAAACACTCTAATCAAATAAGGGGGGTTGAATAATTATTAACTAAGAAATAAGATAAACAATAAACTACCTAAAAACAATAATCTACCTAAAAATATAAACGAAACAACGATAAAGAAGCTAGGGAGTCGGGGATAATTAATTCAAGTTTTATTTGCACACTGGGACATTATTCATTCTATTCTAGATTGACGCTCTCGCTTAAGCATCTAGCGGTTCGCTCCCAATAACTCTTCGTAACAAGGGATTGACCATAGACGAACAAACTTGAGCATACAACACAGGCCAATTATCCCAATCCCAATAACTATTCGTAACAAGGGACGAGTCATCGACAAGCACGTATTTCAATCCAAAACCTATAAACTATTCAATTACGAAATCATCTACCTCATGCGAGCCTAAGTCTACGACTTCTCCCCTTTCGGTTTTAACAGTCGCTAATTAAATTAGAAGAGAGTTAATCGACTAATCATATAGAATCAACAAAACCCTAACTCGACTAATCAATATTCAATTGTTTCCAATTGCAAGATCGAAGTGTCACTCTACGATTATACCAGTCAGTCAAACAAGATTTCATCAATTCGTAATCAAATCACCCGCACAAGAACGAACAATTCAAGCCCGACAAATACACGTTAAACGAGAACAATCATCCCCTATCCATAGCAACAAGAATTAGCTAAGTAATATCAATTCAACACAATCCATCATCTCTCTCAATTCAATCATTATTCATGAATTAAAAATAAAGACAAGAACTTACAATAAATTGCAATTCCAAGTGTTGAATTTGAATTACAAACTTAATCCTTGAATACTAATAAAAAGAAGAAGAAAAATGGAAAAGAAAGATGAAGAGAAGAGGAAAAATGAAGAAGAAGAAGAAGAAGAGGAGGAAGGAGAGGAAGGAGAAGAGGAAGAAGAAGGAGAGAAATGAAGGGGGGGAGGTGATTTTCGGACCTAGGGTTCCTTCCCCCTTCGAGCTGATGGTGAAAGAATCGAGAAGAAAACGAGTTTTTGGGGTTCCTATACCATTCTGGGACTTGCAGGGGGTGTTAGCGCCGCTAAGGTGCCTTAGCCGTTCGAGCCAGTACCGTGTAGCACCGCTATCCTGTGTGCCTTAGCGCCGCTAAGGCACCTTAGCGCCGCTAAGGCTCTGGCAGCCTGCTGGAGTTTGCTTCTCGGGTCCGTTCGGGCTCGTCCAAACTCGGAATTGAGTTCCGTTTTTTCTTACGCGTCGCTAACGAATCCTTCTACGTAATTGTGCTTTTAAATCCAATTTATTCTTGAAAACCTATTCTCCCAAAGCTTTTGACTTGAAGGTGATGGCTCCCGTGCGCGATTTCACATATCGGGCCCGTCCGGACTCGTCCGAACTCGAAACGAATTCCGCTTTTTCCTACTTGTAGCCAACGACCCCATCTATCTAACCATGATTTCCTGGCCTGTTTTAGAGCTAAATTTATTCCTCACGGCCTTCTGACCTGCACACCAAAAACAAGAAGAAAAATGAGAAAAAACATACGAAAAACACAAAAAGAACCAAAACAAAGGGAAACACGCGATAATCAACAAAATGAACTACAAACCAACAAAAATACCTAAAATGGGGAAAAAAAACGACAAAACAATATGGAAAAACGTAACAAAAATGGGACAAACATGTTTGTCTTTGTTGCTGTTATTTGTTACTTTGGTCATTTTCTTATCTGGTTCGTATTAGAATGTAAAGGTTTCAAATGGAAGTATTTGCCTTTACTTCTAGACTGATTGGGTAGTGTTTTATGTTATTGTTTAGTAGTCATCTAGGCCACATGTTCATTGTGGTTCTCTTATTATGTTGGATTAAGAGCTAGTCAGCTCTTCAATTGTACCTCTTGAAACTTTGTTTTCATATTATGAGAATTCCTATCGTTCCTTAAAAAAAATGAATGTAATGTAGGTCTCCCACTCCCAAGGCTTGCGCACGCACACAACACATTGTGTCGCTAGTGTACCTCATCCCAATATCCATATATATATATATATATATATATATATATATATGTGAGTGTGTGTGTGTGTTTACATATACGGGGAATTTCAAATTGCAAATTCAAAATTTCAGTATATTTGGCTGCAAATCAAAACTCATAGTGACACTGAGTGTCGGTTTGGTTGGGCATATAGGGCTTGATATCCTCCAAATTGATATTATATCCACACGTTTAACTTGTTTGGTTGAACATGAAAAAGACCATGATATGGTCATGGCCCGGTTTTATTTCCCATATTTTTATTTTTTGGTATTGTGTATCCCATCTCTAGGGGCGGATGCCATATCAAGGCGTTCTGGTGAAATGTCTATTTTACGCCTTCTTAAATATCAAAATTCATGAAAAAATTCACTCGCTTTTCATTTGTCCTCGTCCCGAGTGGCACAAACCCTAACGTGAGAGACGAACACCTGACTGCTCCCAAGATTTGTTCATCTTTGTTTTTTAGATCCGTCGTATGGTGTTCTTAGATCTGTTCATCATTGGCTTTATTATCTTCTCCCTCATCAATTCATCAATCACGGCGGCTCACGAAGGACGATGAAGAGATGTCGAAGTCTGCCCTGTCAACGTTCAGGGCCAAAGAGGAAGAGATAAAGAAGAATAAGGTGAAAATCAAGGAAAACTTCAGGCTCAGCTGGATCAGATTGACGAAGAGACAAAGCGTTTGGTTACTATTCGAGAGGTATTTCCTGATTTTTTTTTTTCTTATTCGTATTCTGATTATTTTCATTGTTTAGTGATGTGCTTTCCTGCTGTGATTCTAAGGTATTTTGTGAAATTTTAAGAGCGAAACTTGAGGTTCTGGTTACAGTTTGCGCCTTTTGTGTATGCGTGTGTTTATAGGAAAAAGGTTGTTATGTTTCTGAATTTGCATTACAGATCTTAAAATTGCAGAACATTTTAAATTCTAAGTTTTGCTTCTAGAATGTAATTTTCTAATAATTGGATTCATATTTGCTTTTGAATTATTTAGTATCTGTTTGTACCCAAATGATTGAATAAAATATGAGTTATGTAATTTCTCTTTGTATGTCCCAAAATTTTATCCACTACATACTGCAATTCCAATGTATGTTTCTTTATCAAAGCTAAAAAAATGGGCACTTTAAATTAATTAGAAAAATCCACTTCTAAAAATAATTTGTATTCTTGTCATTGTATTGGTTTGTGTTACATTCATTTATATCATCTAAATCAAGACTTGTAATTGCTCCATCTAGGAGTGAGGTCTCTGAAGACAGTATTCTATGTTTTGATGCAATGTGCATTGAAGTTTCTGCGGATGACGATTGAGTTGGTGATTCAATCTTGGTCTTACCTTGAGAAACAATGTCTGTAGATGTAAGTTATTTTTCATGAAGTTAACTATCTGAAACTCTTAAAAGTTAATTCATGGTGCCAACACCTTGTGTTATACAATTCTCTGCTTGTCTTACTTCCATTTTAGCCGAGCTAATATTATTCAATCCTTTTCATGTCGAGTACCTTTCAGTTCTTCAAGCATTAAAACCTTATACTTTGAAGTAAATGTTCTAAGGTATGAACAATGAGGATCACAAATCCGACAATTAACTGAATACCTAGGATGATATTGAGGATGTTTTCCTGTTCCCCATGCATTTCATAAGTATATCGTTTTATTTTTATTATTTTTCCCGAGCATCATAACAGTACCTCATGAAATTCTTATATTAAGTTATGAAATTCTTACATCATGCTATGTAATTGCCAGCTTGCCTTGGAATTTATTTCTGAACATTTTCGAGTCCATTAAATTTGGTTTGACTTACCATAATTGTTCAAGCTTCTCAAACTGGTGCATATTTTTCGGGCTGCAAGAAGCTCAACAAGCTGGAGCTCTTGGACTGCGAGATTTATGCTTCTTGCTATCTATACCCTATGTGCTTTGATGCCATCCATCTTTTCAGAATCAAGGTCGAGTGCTCAAGTTCATTTTCTATGTCGAACGTTATTCTTTTAATTTCTAAATTTGTGCTAATCTTAAACTTAAGATAAACCCCCCAATTTCTCCCAGAGATTAGTTTATGGAGCTAAAGCAGAAGCTGCAATTGCTATCAGTTTTGAAGACTTCGTTGTTGATGCACTTAGAAGAACCGGTTTCTATCAAAAGGCTAATTTAGATCTCAAAAGAGATGACGCTAACGAGGCTTCGATTGCAGAGAAAGTGTTGGTTGTAAATTAGTGTATGTATTTTAGTTTCATTTTTTCTTAATTTTTTTTTTTTTTGGTATATATAGCAGAATATTTTTCGACAAGTGTTAATGTAAATAGAGAAATATTAACGTGAGAACGTTTATACTTATTTTTATTGTGTTCTAATATGTTGTTCATTCCTTATTTTCCACGTAGTTTGTTTTATTATTTTGTTTCTACAATTTATATGTTTCTTTTACTCTTTTTTTTTTTATTTAGTACATTGGTTTAGTGTTAAAAAACGTCACTTAACGTGAAATAGAAAGAGCAAAAAATAAGGTGATTGTAAGGATCAATATTGGAAAAACACATTATTTACAATATTAATTATTATTTCAAATCTTGAACCAAACAAGATAATAACTTAATCGGCTTGATATCAACTACTACCAAGTATCAACAAACACAACTATAGAAAAGATACAATCAAGTGGATACCCACTTAAGCCCAAGAATGATAAGATCAAGCCCAATACAACTTTTGAACCAAACTGACCTGATAGTATTGCGGAAANAAAAACCCACATAATATTATGAATCCACGATAGAAATCAACGGAATCAGTCTCCTCAAATTTCATAATCCAATGGTACATAAGGCTCTCCATGAATAACGATACAGATGGGAAAACTCTAAACAGACATTGAGACAATCATGTGTAGGATCAATCTCCGCTCAGTCAAAGCCTCAGGGTTTGCTCCAGAGGCCCATCATGCTGTAAATTTCTTTAACACGGTCAGATTAAGAGCTTCTCGATTGCGTCCTGCATTACACACCAAAACCAACATTATTAATATATATTAACCTAATATTTTGGTTTACTTTCAATAGAAACGAAATATGAAATTCTTAAGTTGCAAACTGTATCAAGGCCATTCCCATGTTACCTTCAACTGCTGAATTTGCGATTTCAGTTGGCTCCCCTCATTGCTAGTAACAGAACAGGCAATAACAGGTCGGGTAACTCCACATGCACGACCAAGAGCTTGCTTAGACGGGACAAAAACATACGGCACATTCTGCAATCACATGAATCAACAGCTCAGTTGCTTCTTTTGCCACTGGTAACAATATGAAGGATTTACTGAAAGAGTCCAAACAGAATAACCAACACAACACTTGAAAATTTTTTATTTTTCTCCATTAGTTATCAAGTGGATCATCACTGCCTGTCACATTTTCCTTATCCCTGACATATTAATGTACGCATACATTGATATCATGCTTAAAAGATGCAAAACACCATAAGAACCATGCGAATTATATATTGCTGTGGCATCCCTTGCTGTTATTGTTTACCAGGCGAGATATTACAGAATGGAAACTACAGCCAAAACATGCACTGTAACGAGTATCAAATGCTTACCAAAAATGTGAACCGATTTTAAATCACCACACTCGAGTCCTGTAGAAAATAACCTTGGAACGGGACAAGGGGAATAGTGCCAAGGAAAAATAAAAACGATCTAGAATGTGAAGGATTCCTTGCACAACTTGTAACTTAATAGATTTACTAGTCAAATTAATGGTGTCAAGTAGACGCTCGAACATAATTATACTTCATGATGTTCTTCATCCTCTAAACTCAGATTGCATGTGAAGCGTAGGATTTGGAAAATGACAATATTTAATTATACTAACCAACTTATAATGCGAGACAAATAATGACAAGATGCAATCAGATTAAAGCTTGAAGAAATTAGCACGCATACATGTTTTATTACCTCAAAAGATCCTTTTCTCAAATCGAAATACCACTACCCAAATATTATAAATGATACTGTTGCTGCTGGATAAAAAATGAACCAAAACTTGTCATTTCATGCACAAGATTATGTTTAATGGAATGTAACTAACTTTTAGGTATATTGGACTACGAGCAAAAGTTGTATATACTTTTATCATAAATATTACCCTAGTTCCAAAAATAGTCAACAACTATCCATTTATGCCATATTGTCAAAGCACAAGCATACAATATCCCCAACATTCAAAACAAAAATAAAACCCATTCTTCACACAAGCAAATATTCCACTAACTAAGCAATCTCCATACCGATAAACAATATCTAAAAGAAAATATCAGTAACACGCGTGAATTTGACGTGCCTATCAATAGAAAGTTACCTTATCCTCAGCCAGAAGGGGGAGGTGGAGAAGGATCTCAAGTGGCTCAGTATCAGCCGCCATCACAACGAACTCAGAAATCCCTCTGTTCAAGGTCTTAGTTGCTGAAACAATTCATCATCAAAAAACCAGAAAGAACTCCTTAATATCAATCAAGACATACATTTCCAATAAAATATGCGTAAAAGGTTTGTAGACATAGTAACTCTAGCCCACCTTCATTAGCACCCTTTTTGAGCTGCTTGTAGTTAGCGGCTTGCTGAACCAAGTCAAGAATAGTAATGGTGAGCTGGGCATCTGCCAACGGGTAGGCTTTAGGGTTCACAGCTTCTGCAGTCTATTTTCACACATAATACACGCACAAATTGCACCGAAAATCAGGGAAAATCAGGCAAATAGATGGATCATACAGAAATCAATACTCTGAAATGCGAGTTAAAGTCAAACTAGAAAGAGTACCATGATAGCGATGAATCCTTGAACAGTACGTCAGCGCTGATACTGCGAAGAATTTTTCACAGGGTTTTGACAAAGCACGGAGAGAGAATTAGGATTTAGGGTTGGCTGATTATATAGGTACTGTCTTACTTCTCGGCCCAGATAAGAAAAGCCCATGCTCGGAAAAGAGAATTTTTCATTTTTTTCCGTTAATTTTTCAATAAATTTTCCCCAATATAAGTTTTATCAAACATGGTATCCATATTTATATATTCTGAAAATCGGGTCAATCATTGAACCGGTCAAGCTACTGATTCAATTGTTCACTAGTCTGATGACGAAGATCGTATATCTCGATAACTTGGAGTGCCTCGAAAGTTACTTGTCAAGCTTTCCTTCTCGGCGATAGGTTGTGAAAGACTCAAATTTTTCCTTGTCTTCTCACGATTTTGAGACAGCTCGGACGTGATATCTTTGTCAAACTCGAACTTATGACGAATTATGCGGTGAAACGCCCTTTTCGACACAAGAATTTTGCGATAAAAATCTAAGAATTCTAACACAAGAAATTGGTGACCGAATGTCGATTTTCTATTAACTTCAGTCCATGAAAAATAATTGTGAATACATAGGTTTATTTATAGAAGAGAATACTATCCTATAGGAAATAAAATAGTAGTTCTATGAGGAATTTAATTCTAATCCTAAGGAAATAATAAATATAGAATCTTAGGAATTACCAAATAATTTGGCACATGCCAATTAATCCAAAACATCTAAACGTACAAGGAATAATTAACTAATAAACTAGATATGCAATCTAGAAGATTTCTTTCGAGAAAGTCCAACTTGCGCTCCAAGTCATGTTGCTTGCGCCCAGACCTAGGTCTGCTTGGTCTCCTGGTCGTTGGCCCGATCTTCTCGCGCGGGTTTCCAGCTGGCGCGCGTCCCGTCTGTGCTCCTGAATTGTCGGTCTTCAGCGTGATGATCGCGATGCTCTGTCCAGGTAACTCATGCTGCTCTCGCATGCTATTCGCCCGCACCTGCTCGTTTCGCGCTCGGGAAAAATCTCGCCCAGGTCGCGAGCCTGTTGTACGCTAGTCGTCTCGTCGTTGGTAGCGCGGTGCTGCGCGCGTATCTGCCTGTCTCGCGGTCGCGCCTGCTATACCACGCAGTCGTCGCGGTCTCACCGGGTCTCTCCATAGGACTGAGAGAAATAGTATAGTCAAGATCCTTCTTAAAATGGGTTTCCATTCAACTTTTGTCCAGTGGATTTTTTATTGCATTTTTACCTCTGTTTTTTTCTTTAATGTGAATAGAAAGGTGTGGTTTGGTGAAACTTCAAGAGGGATTAGGCAAGGAGATCTATTATCTCCTTACATTTTTATTCTGGTTGTTGAAGCTTTCTCCAGGTTAATTGCGGAGGAAGTGGAAAATGAAACTTCAAGAGGTTGAATATAACCAGAAGGGGGACTTCTCTTACATTTATTTTTTGTTGATGACTCTTTGATGTTTTGTGCTGCTAATGTTCCTCAAGTTGTTATGTTGCTTCAGATTATAGATAAGTATATAGCTTTCACTAGGCAAAGGGTCAACCTTTTGAAAATTGCAGTATTTTTTTTAGCAAGAACACATATCTCCATCTTCAAAGGGATATCTGCAACATTCTAGAGGGAATCAGTGTCCATAGATCCTCCAGTTATCTGGGGTGCCTTTTGGGATTGACAAATCAAAGAAAGAGTCCTTTGAGTTTGTGCTGATTGCAGTCAAGGGTGGCTTGTCAACTGGAAAAATAAGTTTCTATTTTCAACTGGGAAAGAGGTATTGATTACAGTTGTACTTAATGCTCTCTCAGTGTTCATAATGTCTTGTTTTTGTCTCCCTATAAGCATTTGCCAGGAAATCCCAAGCTTGTGTGCTAAGTTCTAGTGGAGTTCAGGTGATGACCAAACACAAGGGATACACTGGAAGGGGTGGAAGTGGATGGTTACACCTAAGGAGTGGGGTGGGCTGGGGTTCCATGATGTGCAACTGCTGGCAACAAAACCAAATCTTTTGGTAAATAAGATCCTGAAAAAAAGATATTACTCTGAGGGGTGCATTTTTTAAGCCAAGAGAACTCAGAGATCATTCTGGATGTGGAATAGTTGGGTTAACGTGATGCATAAGTACTGCCACTTCTTTAGGAGGGAGGTTAGAGATGGTTGAATACAAGGATAAAAAGAGACCCTTAGGTGCCAGAGGTGAAATTAGGTATACCAGAAGCTATAAGTGATAATGTGAGATAACTTACTTGGGTGAAAGAGCTTATTGCTGAGGGAGGCACAAACTGCAATGACAGCTTCTTAGAGAGATTTTCACAGGGGCAGACTGTGAAGCTATCCTCGGAATTAATATTCTCAACCCAACATTGAAAGACATATGGATCTGGACTTGGGGTGGGGGGGAGGTGGGGGTGGGGAAGGCAGATTCTCAGTGGCTTGTGCTTACTCTAATCTCATGAGGGAGAAATTCACAGCCGGGACACTCCTGAGAGCAGCAGATCTAAAAGAAGTGCAAAGAAGGCTAGAGACAAGTGTTGGAAGTTAAAGGTTAAAAGGCAAGCTAAAACACTTCATTTAAAAGTGTTTCTCTGGGGCATTACAAGTTAATCTCAGATATATATTTATATGAGTAACTGTTGATAGTATTTGTAAATGTTGGGTGATGAGAAGGAATCCATAGTCCACCTGTTGTTCAAGTGTCCAAGGGCTCAACAGGTATGGAAACTCTCACCTCTGACTTGGGACCCTAATCAGAGTGCCATTACCTTCAAGGATTGGTGGTGGAAGATTTCTAGCCTTGACAACTCAAATATAGCAGAAGCTCGAATCCAACTATCCACTTATATTTTGTGGTGGCTTTGAAAAGCCCACAACATGTGGGTCTTTCAGAACAGGTGGTTGAATGATAGACATTGTACACTCTGCTGTAAGAGTGGACTGAGTTTGTTGCAGTGTAGTGCAAGTTCTTGCAGCTTTGCAGGGGGATTGGAGTCTAGGTTCTTTTATGTTCAGTGGTCTATTTCTCCCTTGCAGCTTTGTGTGTTTGGCTTTCTGGTTGTTTGTGTGGTTTGCAGCTGCTGGTTTGTAGACCAAATGAGTCAAATGGTAGTGTTTGCTAGTTGTTGTGTTTGGTGTGGCCACTTGCATAAGGTAATTCTTTTTTTTAGTTTATTTGAATGGGCTAGTTAAGCCAGTAAGACTTTTTTCCAGTTGGTTATGGAGGTTTCAACTATCGATTAAAAAAAAAAAACATATTTTGTTAAATTAATTAACAAATACTTACAAAGTCGTATTATAATTAGTATCAGTTTTGTATGAATATATTTTGCTAAATGAATTTATTGAAAAATGAAAAAAATGGGATTTATGTTTCCAGTGCCAAATTAATACACATGCAAAGTCACTGCTAAGCTATTTACAAAATAATCCATAACACGATTCAACACATATTACTAAGGGAATGTATTGTTTTGAGATTTTAAGCGACATTTTGACTTTTTTAGATTTTAGATTTATGAGGAATTCTATAAAATTTTAAATCCAAGATTTGCATATGGTTTTTTTCTTTTGAAATATCAGCAAATATTAAAAAGTCCTAACAAATTATAGTTTCAAATAAGTTTAAATACATTAGATTTTGTAAGAATTTTTAAAATAAATACCTCGAGACTTTTAAAAGTCTGAAAAAAAAAATCTTTAAAAGTCAAAGTTAAATACAACAGAATATATAACATCTTACAAAATTTTAGATATCTCAAATGTATACATTAAAACTATCAAATGATATTTCATTGTAAGTTATAACTTTTAATAGCGTATAATGGATTGTTTTTCATTTTGTTATATATTTGATTTATAAAACATACCCAAAATAATGTTTTGCCGTCGTACGTGTGTACTAGTTTATTTATGAAAGACAAAAATTCTATGGAGCCATTGGATGGTTTTCTTATGGAGTCATTCATCACTTAATGTATTGACACCTGTTCAAATGTGTATTTATTGCAGGACACGTGTCAATACACTATTTGTGAATAACTATGGATAACTCTATAAGCTGAGTCATCGGATGACTCCATAGTAAAACTGTTATACAAGAATGATTTTATTTTTCCATCTCATCCTACATTCACTGAATATAACAAGTATTGCTCGCATATTTATATTCACCTATTATGTCCAATCACAATTTTACTCTTTTAATTTAAGATCAACGATACATCATTTTATTTCATATTATATCAACTTAAACTCTATAAATTTTCATTCTTTGAGAAAATATTCATCCATTCCTAACCAGCAGAAAATTCGTATTCAAATAAAAGACAGGGAAAAGAAAAAAGAAAATACGTATTCACATTTTAATTTATTTATATGATATTATCATTTCCAATAAAAGAAAAAAAGACTAAAAGACTGAACTGTATTTTTGTCCAAAAAATAAATAAATAAATAAATGCACTAACAAATAAAGATTCGAAAGAGGGGTTATAACATCACTGCACACAATCTCTAAAATTGAGCTTAAACCATAAATTTGAGCCAGCAGTAGTTGGATTGGCTCAAAGAAAAGAAGCATATGAAAAACAAAATATTTAAACCATCTTCTCACCGATGAAGATCTAAGAGTACATATGGTTAATTCTGTTCAGTACAAGATCCAGACCGTCAATTTCAAAATATATAACCGCTAATCATTCTGATCCAAAGGGTCGACTGAGAACAATGTCCGGTGCTCCATGCTTGTATGTTACAATCCAGCAGATTTCTCCAACTTCTGGATTTGATTCAGGAATATCCATGTCATCTGTACAAATGAAACAAGCATTTTTTACCTTTTTAGGGGAAAAATAATCCATAATAAACGGAACAAGTTTAAATTGCATTTCTGAGAGAGAGAGAGAGAGAGAGAGAGAGAGAGATGACTATGCTATGGGGGGTACCATGACATGAGGCGCGATTCGAACACAATACACAGGGAATCCTGTATAGAATTTGAAGGGCCCACCAGACTTGAGTGTCTTCATGGCACAATCAAGAGAACCAGTGTACGGATACTTCCCTTCGGCATCTGGCTGCATTTTCTGTATTTGGGTCTTCACATAATCAAATGGCAAGCTACAAGCTGACGCAAAGAATCCCGATACAGAACTAGCCCCTGAAGAGAGATGAAAACCAAAAAATAAAAAATAAAAAAAAATAAAAAATATTGTAGTTGCCAAAAGTCCATATTACGAGGTTTGTTCCAAGCATTTTTACGATCTTTTACCTGATAAGACAGTCCTTGGAGCTTACTAAGACGATGTTTAGAGTATTGTAAGTGTTTGCAATGGAACTAATATGTAAATAGTGATAATTAACTGATTTTTTTTTTTTTTTTTTTCTAATTAATTGAGATAGTTAAAATACATAACTAAGAAGTTATAAAATGTTTAATATAATAAAAAAGGTTGCTCATTCCGTAAACTAGGATTGTAAACAAATCGAATCAAGATATTCGATTCGGATTCGTTAAAATATTCGAGGATTTGAATTCGTAAACGAACTCATTTTTTTATTCGTATTCGACTCGTTTAGAATATTCGAACATATTCGATTCGATTCGAAATTCGTTTTCAGAAAAAATAATCAGAAAAAAAATTATAATTACAAAAATATTGTTGATGTTTTTCCTATCAAATTTGAGATGTTTTTACTTTTTATGTTATAAAAACATTAGGAATATAACATTATATATAAATATAAACAAAATGTATACTATATATAACTTATAAAATTTACATAATTGTTAACGAATCGAATATCATAATTTCAAATCGAATATCTACAAATTCGAATTTGAATTCGTTTAACTTTCGAATATAAAACATTATTCGTATTCGAATTCGAATTCGAATAATTCGAATCACGAATATCGAATTCGAATATCGAATCGAGTCAAAAAAATTCGATTTGTTTACAAGCCTACCGTAAACAACTCATACACTACTAACACCTTATTTAGGAAATTCATATAATCTCACCTAGCACTGTAGCAGCCTCACCAAAACCGAGAGAGTCCTTGAAGAACTCGACACTCTGGTCATACGATGCAAGCATGCCCATGTTAAGAGCCATTGCCCTCACAACCGTGGGGCCCGCACCTTTCCAAAGAGCAAGGACACCTTCATCGGCCACTATACGGTAAAGCGCGTGGAACGCATTCGTGTAATTCCGCCTTTGGGCAGCTGGTAAAGTCGCATCCGCCTGCATGCGTATGAGCGCCAGATCAGCAGGGCTGCCAACCGATGCCCCAATGGCACCTGCCGTCAGCCCACACAACGCCTTCTGATAAAGAGGTAACGGCTTTCCATCATTCGCCTCCACTGCCTTGGCCGTCAAAATTCTACACAGGAGATTGGTTAGCAGAAAGAAGAGCAATACCGGAAAAACCCAATTTTCACTGTTTCTGATGTTCGATTCTCACAGAGTGTTCTTCAGGCAGGCAGTAGTGTGAGGACAATGAAATCAATGTGATAGTATTAAAGAATTTAATATTTTGAACTTGGTTGTTTCATTTGCCAATAAACACACCTCACAGAAAAATCATTTACCGTGTGTTGGTAGTCAAACTGCACCAGCATAACAAAGTCTAAATGTACCTTAATTCAAAATCAGTGTATTTTCTCACTTTTTATTTTGAACATTTTTTATATGCAACTTAAAACCAAGAAATCATGGTCTAGCGCCCAAATATCCTAAGGGACAAAAAGGCATGGATTGCCCATGTCAGGAAACTCAACTAGAAAGCTCGTTAAAATTCAACCGTAAAATAAAATAGCAGATTATATGATAAACTAACACTCGCCTGCACATGCAGTACAGAGCGAAGGATGAGCAATAGCAAAGGAAAAGAGCTGTAGCTTTTAGCCATCAAAAGCACAATGAATTTTGTCCTCAGACAATCATCTCACTTGATTAATTTCAACATGATCATGAATCCATGAAGCTACAAGGCCCACGGAAAATACGTACTTGAATGATCCAAGACGTGCTGTCGTATATGTAGCCTGTCTAAGAAGCCCAGCAGACAAACCCTGTACACAAACAAACTTGTTAGATATGAAGGCATGTCACAAGACGGTTGAAATTGAAACACCACACATATTTAAGCCTCTTATATGTTCACACTGAACCCATAAAATGAACCAACAGAGGTTATTCATATAAACAAATATAAGGAAACAAAGGTGTATAAGCATCTAGCAAAATGAGGAAAGAGAAATTGAAAATATAGAATTCTCAGATTTTTCCCATTCAACAACAAAAGATGTGCAGAATACAATAAAATTGAATTCTACTTACACAGAATACAAACCACTACAAAATTGTTCCTGGAAGATTATCCACTGATGTAAAAGAGCTGATGGTGCATACATTTCTAAAATTATTGGATCATTCTTGCGTAGTGAGTCAAATAACTCCTTGAAATTCCGAATGCATACCAATTTCACATTCGTCAACTATAAAAATAACAAGCTCCAAATATAAATCATGAATCATACGTGAAGTGCTGATTCAAACAACTAAAAACTGTTTCCAGTTAAGATCTTACTATGCCACAACTAGCTATGTCCAACAACTAAGCAATTTAAAGTGACCCTCGCACACCTCAGTAAAACAAATTTAGCTTGATGATTGAACTAATATAGGCTAGCCAACGTCATCACATTAGCCATTTAAATAAGTACTGTTGAAAATGTCATTCAACCACCTTTGAAATCATTAGAAAACTAATCATGTGTCGCAAACGAATACCGGATACCAACTCTAATCCCAAAAGTACAACTTCACAATTCCACTCATCTTTAAATGGTCCATGAAAGATGTCCAAAACAACGACCAGCACTGACCTTGTAAAAAGCACCTACACCTTCACTTTTTAGCATGTTTTTGGTCACCTCAGCAGCCGAACCCTGGCCAAGCTGTATTCTCACCTGAAAATGAAGGAAAATCAAGAAATACACCTCACAGATAAGAAAAACAACACCCTTCACCTCATATAAACACCAAAAAGGAAGTCTCAACATCTTCCATGTGAAGATTTGGAAAGGATTAGATCCAAACATAAACCAGGAAAAAAAATATAATTTTCTACTCAACGCGAAACAGTAGTACTAGTACATCGTCAAACTCCACGAACGGAAATGAGATCTGAAATCTAGCTTCCGTGAGAAGCATTTCACAAAAACATGATATGAAGCAATCCAACAAACACAGAAAATGAAAAAGGAAAAGACCCATTTGATCAAAGATGGGAAATGATGCCTAGAGCAAAAATTCGTGAGTGTAAAATCAATTTACGAAAATACGAAGAGAGAAAAAGAAATTTGAAAAACTCAGTCGAATTTATACGAAGAATCCCAATGGTATACACGCGTGCACAAAAGCATAAGTACCTTAATCATATCAATGGGCTGTATAACACAGGTAGCAAGCATACCGGAGGCACCGCCATTGACGAACGGCTTCACCGTGTTCCAAACTCCAGCTGATTTCGGCTTCTCTTCTCCCATTTCGTTAGCTTTTCCTTTCTTTTAATTACTTTTTTCCCTACTAATTTCTTCCCAAGCAGAGTAGCTAGTGACCAGACAGAGCAATGAGTATGTGGTGAACAATATGACTGATGTCTGTTGATTGGTGACTAGTGATTGTGGTAATTAATCTTTGAATATAATAATATTTAAATTTGTGCTGACATATCCCCTTATATATTAATTCCGAACGTGCTGAGTCTATGTAGCAAGCTCGCATGCTTCGGGATTGTATATGGCAAAATTACATGTTTCGTTATTAGGCTTGGATAGATTTAATTTACATCTAATCCAAAAATATTTAGGTTCGGGATAAATGTTGATTATTTATGGTAGAGGTGAGCGCGGTTTGAGACGGTCCTAAATTTGACTTGTCCGGATACTGATCGCACTCTTATGAATCGGTCTATGAACGGTCCGGGATGCGACACCGTCCCCACCCAAAAGTTAATATTTAAACATAATAATATTATATATCTCAAACACCTATATGCTATAATCTATATAACGTAATATACATGTTAATTACAAAAATTATATAACGTAATATACATGTTAATTACAAAATTATATTTTAGAGAACTAAAGTAAACTAAACTAAAATAAATGTTTTTATTTTTAGTCTAATAATTATTAAAAGTATATATTATCACATCCAGCTCAGGATCCTACTCTGGAAAGGATGAAACAGCTGCAGGCTAGCGTAGAAGGCATGGTAGCACCTTGAATTCACGGCCATCCGTTTGCGAAGGAGATTCTAGAGGTCGATCTGTTGAATAATTTTCACGAGTTTGATCTATCTTATAACAGTTCGACGAGACATCTCAGGTCTTTCTAGAACATAGTGGTCCTTCAGAGTTATAGCGATGCAGTGTGGTGTAGGGCTTTTCTAACAACCCTGAATGGATCCTCACAAGATTTGTTTAATCAGTTGCCGACTGGATTGATCTACAGCTTTGAGAGACTGGTCTCTTAATTCGTAAACCAGTTTTCTAGTGCGAGGAAGCACGAAATTACCTACCTCGCCCCGATCATCATGCAACAGAGATAAGGGGAGACCCTTCAAGAGTACATGGCCCACACTAAGGAGGGTGTGAAGGACCAATTGGCCCCTGAGGAGATTAGGCTAGGAGTTCTCATCAGAGGTCTCCGACCAGGTCCATGCAGAAAGTCATTGGCAAAGAGGCCAGCAAGGTCTTTTGACGAGTTGTTGTCCAGATGCAATAAGTATATCAACATGGAGGAGGGCCGAAGTCAACTTTCTGTCGAGTGACAAGACTAAGGTCAAGCGATCGGAGGAGAGGCCTCACTCAGATGACAAGAGGTCTTCCAATAAAGACTCGAGGTCGGACAAATGCAACAAGGTGGGGTACAAGTCAGGGCAGTATGCGCCCTTAACTGTACTCCAGATTGAGTGTTCAAGGTCCTCAAGAAATAAGGTGACAAGAGGATCTTTTCCTGACCTAACCCCATCCCGAAGAAGAGAGGGTATGTGCCCTCATGAGGTGATCCGTATTGTCGGTAAAATAGGGATGATGGCAATTCAACCAACAGTTGTAGGGAGGTTGAGGATGATATTGAGAGGTTTATTCAAGCGGGGCATATCAAAGAGTTTGTTCTGAAAGATAAGGAAATGAAAGAGGATTGAGAGGTCGCAGAGAAAAAGAGGCGACTTGATAAGCCAGATGAAAGACCATCCAAAAGGGGTGTGATCCAAATGATCGTGGGAGGTCCCGCTGATGGGGACTCCCACAGCGCGCGGAAGAGGACCTATCTCGTCAAGGATGTAACAGAGGTTCAAGTTGAGCAATCACAACCCGAGGTTGTTCTGAAGTTCGGGTTCAAAGATGTGTAGGGAATTATTACCCCTCACAATGACGCCTTGATCATCACTGTTGAGGTATCCAGTTACGACGTGCAAAGGGTGTTCATCTACACAGGGAGCTCGGTCAAGATTATCTTTTTGCAATGCCTCATGTAGATAGACCTTGATGTCAAAATAGATCCAATAAATACAGCCTTTATGGGTTCAGTGGCAATGAGGTCACATTGATTGGGGAGGTGCGCTTACCCGTGGTGTTGGGACTGCCACCCATAAGAAAGGTCAAGATGGTCCGTTTTTTGGTGGTAGACACCAGCTCGGCATACAACATAATTCTCAAGTTGGTCTAAAGATGGAGCTTAAAAGGGACCTATCCTTGAAGGAGAGGTCAAGAAGGTGATGATTGTCGGAAGTCACCTCCAGAGGAAATCTAAGTTCCCCTCATTGCTTTGTTTAGGGAGTATGCAAACGTCTTTGTCATTTCAGTTGATGACCTAACAACACTGTACTAAAAGTCGGCCTAGACGCCAGTCTAGGCGGTGTCTAGGCGCTAGGCGACACCTAAGCAGTCGTATTAGGAGCTCCAAAGATTAGGCGACGCCTAGACGGGCTAAGCTCTTGTGAGGGTACTCGTGCTTAGGTGGCGTCTAGACGCCTGTATAATTTTTTTTTTCAATTTTTTTAATTTAGTTTTAAAAAAATAAAAAATATTAATTTGTACACATGAAATTTATATTAATTGTATAATAATAATATTAATGATTATTCACAATTAATACGATAATTATGATTGCATATTTTTTATAATCTTTCTATTCGACCATATTATTTAATATATTTTTAATAATATATCTTATAAATTATGCATGATGATAAATATAAATAAACTTTTTTTTTTTCTCGACCCGCCTAGCGAGCGCCTAGCGAATTTTAGAACATTGTCTAATTGGAATAAACCCAGAGATAGCCGAGAACACGCAGAATATCATACGACTGTGAAGCCGTTGAAGCAGAAGAGAAGGTACTTTGGTGTGGAGCTCGACCTTGTGATCAAGGGCGGGTCGATAAATTGTTGAAGGCATGTCATATTAGACTTATCGAGTTCCTAGAGTGGTTGTCCAACTCTATGATGGTCAAGAAGGGAGAGGGCTAGTGGCAAATGTGCATCGATTTCATGACCTCAATAAGGAGTGCCCAAAGGATCACTACCCTCTTCCCAGAATAGACCAGCTCGTTGACTCAACAGCAGGGTGCGAGTTGCTCGGTATGATGGACACTTTCTAGGAATACCACCAGATACCCTTGGCGGTTGAAGACCAGAAGAATGTAGGCTTTGTGACGTCCAAAGGCACCTATTACTATGCGGTGATGCCTTTGACTTAAGAACGCGGAGGCAACCTACCATAGGTTAGTAGACGAGATGTTCAAGGACCAGATTAGAAAGAGCATGGAGGTCTACGTGGATGACATGCTCGTGAAGAGAAAAAGAGCTTAGAGTCATGTCAGTGGCCTGAAGAAGACTTTCGATACGTTGCGGCTACGACATAAATATCAATCCAGCAAAAGTGTAAATTCGTGGTCAGGTCGAACAGGTTTCTAGGGTACCTGGTTACAGAAAAGGAGATCAAGGTCAAACCATAGAAGGTAAAGGCAGTGCTTGATATGCAGGCGCCGAAGAGTTTAAAGGAGGTCCAAGTCCTCAAAGGTTGTTTGGTCGGGCTAAGTAGGCTTTGCACAGTCGTTTGAGAAGAGCTTTCCATTTTTTTGATCGTTGAGGAAAGAATCTCACTTTGAGTGGACACCCCAAGAGCAACAAGCTTTTGACCGACTTAAGAAGTTTTTGGCCAAATTACCATTACTCTCGAAGCCAGAGCCTATGGATGACCTTGTCCCATACCTCTCACTAGGCTATCAGCTCGGTGTTGCTGAAGGAAGAAGGGGGCAACAGAGACCCATTTATTATACGAGAAGGGTGTTGCAAGGTACTCTGAGGTAAAAAAATCTACACTGGCACTCATTTCGACAGCAAGAAAGTTGCGACCATACATTTAGGCGCATAATGTCGTGGTCCATGTGAACTACGCATTGCAGGATACTATAAAACTATGCATTTACATATGCATCACAACTAACTGATAAAAAAATTTCTAGTTCACAAAAAATAATAATTTCCTTACAAAACTATGACTCTTGAATAAAAAGAGATCCATCGAGTCAAATTTATAAACAATTTCCTTCAAAATTTTATGACTTGAATAAAAAGAGATCCATCAAATCAAAGTTGACTCAAACCAGTTATAGCGAAGGCCATTAGAGCATCTTGAAGATATTAAAAAAGAGAAATCAACAGGAACATTAAATCATCTAACAAATGTCCAAAGAAACAGATCACTGAAAGTCCATGTATATCTCCATTTCCGTTTGTAGTATAACAATCTGACTGTGAACAGCAAGAGTTACAGGAACAAAATTTTGACAGGGTAATTTGACTCACTTGCAAAACCCCACATCACAATTAACCAAAAATAACAACTCTCACAAAATTAATAACAGGAATCCCTGTATCATCTGGGACCAACCACCCCTAACATTCGACTTTTGCTTTCATGCAGCAATGCACGACCATTTTATACACGTACAGAAAAGCCTTGATGACATGCTAATATGCAATCCACTTGACAAACCAAACCAATATGGTTGGATGCATATACTTATGGTGCATAAGGGATATATCAGGCTTTTCTATGGAAAGAATTGAGGTAATACAAAATACATGACCCGACACAAATAGACCTATGGCACAATCAATTATTTCGAGACAAATATGTCGTAAACCAAATAATAAAAGCCAGAGAAAGTGATTATGATGAAAGAATTGACTGCAATGCCAGCTGCTGCTGGGGTTGCAAGGACGACAATGTCGAGGCGAGGGTTGAAGGGGGTAATGTCTGCTGTAAATGTCTCAACAAACTGATCATTCGACTTGCAGTTTGTTCATTGGCAAGATCCTGGCCTGCGCAAAGAATCTGAAGGGGGAGGTTCAATATGTATATAAACACTTGTACACTCAACTAGCGTGTGGATAACATCTTATGGTGGTCCTTAAAAGGGTTTATAAAACGAACCTCAGCAAATACAGAGACTATTTTAGGAAGATATTGATTGTTAGGTCCCAAAAGTTCTCCATCAGACCTGCCAGTGGAAAAAGGTGATCAATATGCAAATAGGAATGACGATCTGATGTAAAATTTGTGTAAGCCACAAGAGTTAGGATTTTCACCTTTCAACCATGGAGCAAAGCT